AGAAAGCCATTACCATAAAAGTCAGGGGATCTTTGGAGAGGTGTTTGGGAAGGAATAGAAGGGGGTTCATGGGGTGCTGGTAGTATCCTATTTTTTTGACCTGGAGGTGGTTACATGGGTATTTGCTGTTCTTTATACTTTTCTGAGTATTCACAGTTTGAAGGGGAGCAGGGATAAAAATTAGAGAGAAAATAAAAGAATGGAAAGCCTGAACTAGGGCAATGACTCCAGAAAGAGAAGTTTCTTTGGTGATTTATGGTGCTTCTCTTTATTCTAAAAGGCTTGGTTTTTGGTTTTCTGGGGGTTTTTTGTTTTTGTTTTTTTTCCATTTTAACATCTCTGATATCGGGTACATCCCGCATGCTTTTTAGATGTGATGGAATGTGGTTGTTTCAAGGATCTCCCTATCCTGGCTGCCTCCTTCTGGGTCTCTGGCCCTCCTAGAGCGGAACCACCCCAGAGTGGTGGCTGGCAGCAGCCCATGTCCCTTTAGTTGTGAAGAGGGAGAGGAAGGGGAGAAGCATGTGGTAGACTCCGGTGTGGCACTGCTGATGGCAGGAAACCCAGTGGAAGCTCACTCATCTGAATCGGGCTCCATGCCCCATTCCACCAGCAGCTCAATGTCTATTGACGCTGACAGGCTGGGGCTTCCCATCTGCTGTGCCCCTTGGTGACCTGGCCTACCAAGGAGATGGTGAGGTCTGCATGGCTAGGAGGTGGAAGGACAATTGCCAGTGGGCTGTGCATGAAAGAAGTGGCCAGGGACCTGTGAATCAGCACTAGCTTAGCTTCTTTCTGAACCAGCCCATGGACAGAACTCACTCTTTCAACTAAAAGACGCTTTCAGCATCAGTTTAGTCCAGAGGAGAGTTGTGTTATAGGGCTATAAAGGGAGGTATCAGAGAGAGATGGGAAAGAGTTGAGGTCAGATTTCAGAGGACTTCCTGGTGGCAACTACAGCGCTGTGAAACACCTACTCGGTGTAAATACCATAATTCCCTTCTCTGAAGTCCTTGAGTATTCAACTAGATGGTGCCTGAAAGCTTCAGTGCATCGCACGAAGTGAGTCAATGGAGCACACATGCTTACCCTGCAGGATCTCATTAAATCATCCCCATGTCCAAGAGGTGAGCACTATTTTGCTATTTCCAACTAAGGATGGAATACATAAAACAGACAAAGGGCTGGGCATGGTGGCTTACACCTGTAATCCCAGCACTTTAGGAGGCTGAGGCGGGTGGATCACCTGAGATCAGGTGTTCGAGACCAGCCTGACCAACATGGTGAAACCTTGTCTCTACCAAAAATACAAAAATTAGCCGGGTGTGGTGACAGGTGCCTGTAATCCCAGCTACTTGGGAGTGTGAGGCAGGAGAATTGCTTGAACCTAGGAGGTGGAGGTGGCAGTGAGCCAAGATCGTGCCACCACACTCCCGCCTGGGCAACAGAGTGGGACTCTATCTCAAAAAAAAAAAAAAAAAAAAAAAAGCAAAAATAAAAAACAAATGTCACACAGTGCTAACGGGTGGGTCAGGAGTTGATCCCGTCTCCAAAGGTCTTTTACTTCCCAGCAGCCCTGCCGTGCTGTGTGAGGTTCCAGCTGTCCCTGAGAAGGCTCTGTCATCTTCTAGTCTGTTCTTTACCTCTTTTTCTTTTTTTCCCTTGCTTTTCATGAGCTGTATGTACTTCTTTTTCAAGGAAGGATTGTCTACTTCCAGAGAGCTACTGTCTGGGCCCTTCCCTTCCAACTCCAGGGAGTTCCCTCCAAAAATGATCAGAGCACAGCCACTGTGGCTTGATGGTTTGCCATGATCTCATTTGATTCCTCTTCTAGTCCTTGGCCCCAGGCCTGGCCAGTTGTGCTAAAAGGAGCACTGACCCAATCGTGGTCTGTCCAGGGGCCAGGACTATTTTGACTCTGTCCTCAGGAATCATGTGGTCTGAGGCGTGTACAAGCTGGACTGCTCCGATGAGCACTCAGATGTGGTGCCAAGAATGTTCTGGCTGACACACCTGTTCCCAAAGCTGGGCTAAATGCTGCTACTCACCCCACGGCCTCCATCATGTGCATCCTAAGATACTGGTTCCAGGAGGGGTAGGTGGTGAGGACTTGCACCACGGGGTGGTAAGGGGCTTATATCCTCATTCATAAGAGAAAAGCCAGCCAATTTTGGGTGGCACTGCTTTTCATAGCTCCCCATTGGAATGGAGGATGTTAATCTGCATATTCATGACATCCACTTAGAATGGGGGCCTCAGCAGCAGAAGCCTCCTTAGAGACAGCAAATATTATTCTTCCAAGGAAGGCGGGAGGATTTCCTTCTCTGGAGGTCTTTAACAGTGGAAGCACTTCTCACCCAACTGGCTTAAATATAAGTCCTAGTGCAAGGCTCCTGCCTGGAACACCCACCCTCTCCTCTTCTAGAATGGCCTGGCCATTCTTCTAAGTTCAACTGAAATCCCCCGTCCCTAAGGACTTTCTTCTCTTATCACCAAAGGGGTACTTAGCATGGACTTCCCATTAACAGAGGGCTTTTCCTCCTTTTTTTCCTTCCATCTAGTCTGTGAGCTCTTAACTTCAGATACGCTTTGCTTGCTGGCACCTGGCCACTGGCTCTGCTCAGGAAACAAGCCTGCATCTCCTTCTCATGCCAGTTCACTCATCAGTTCCCTACACAATCCTTGAATGTTGGCCTCTTTGCCTGTCACTGGTCTGCACTCTGGAGATAAACAATGTCTAATAAGATGGGGTCCCTGCCTGAGAGCAGCTCATGGCCTATTGGGGGACACATATCTTGCCATCTGGTGCATAAAAAGCAATCATTCAGAAGCTATGGTGACCAGCTTTGCCTCAGGGAGTTGGGAAGGGCCTTGCAGAGACTGTGATCTGTGGCAGGCCCTTACAGATGCTCAGAAAGGCACGTGAGGACAGGCAGGAGGAGGCATGCTCCGGAGGAGGGCCAGCACGTGTGAGGGCATGGAGGCATGAAAGGGCCTCGTGGGACCTGAAAAGGTCAAAAAGTTGCCATATTTTTGCTGCATTCTGTCTACAGACTGGCTGGCCATGGACAGGGAGGCTGCTTGGCTTTTCTCCCACAAATAGGGATATTGGAGCCAGGCACTAGGGCTTGACCCCAGAAGGTATCAGAGCTCCCAGAGTCCCTGCCCCATCTGCCCTCCGCTCCTTCCCAATTATAATAAAATTGACTCCTGTAATGCTGATGTGCCTTCTTTCTTGTTAGAATCTTAATATTATATGAATCACAAGTCCTAGCTGCTTTGGCAGGGCGGTCAGGGTTAGAGGTTTGAATTAAAACAACACACAGTCCCGATCACTTCATTCAGGGGATACTGAGGCAGGGAAGAGGCTGCTCTCCTTTTCCACTGATAATGAGAGTATCACCAAGGCAGCTGATCGCACCCTTTTCCCTTAGAAAATCTTAAGCATCTTGTAACACCACCTGATATTAACAGTATTGATACCTTTTATCGAGCATTTTACAAGTATAATTTCATTTATTTGTTAGATGACTTGATGATGTGTGGTTAAGTGACATCCCTGAGATTTCACAGCTAGTCATAATAGAGGCAGATTGTAAACAACCCCCCAATCTCGGGGACCTTAGACAGCCCAAGCACCACCTTCTAATACCACTCCAATCAAAAGGAATGATTTTAGCCTGAGGATGCTGGATACCTTGGTCTTCTGCCACAAGAGCCCCCCAAGCGTCCTCTAGCTTCTGGGACAAAACTCTGACCTATCCTGACGTTTGTCACACCTTAATTGCATGCGTACTGGGTGCCAGGCACCGGGCTGTGGCCTGAACAAGTCATAGGGAGGCAGAGACTCAGTCATCATGTGGCCCCCCTCCCAATGGGGTCGAGACCCTCTTCCCACTGCCACCCAGAACCTTCTCACTCTTTAATATGACTTGTTCAGCCCCATCCCTCTGGCCAGCACCTGCTTCTCTCCTCCTTCTTAGCCTCTATAGCTTCTATAGTGCTCATCACCCAAACCACAGCATTGAGTGCTCCGTTTTTACTTTCTTTCACTCAGCAGGCATTTCTATGTCATTTGTATGTGGAAGGCACTGGGGATACATTCAGTAAGTATCCCGATGCCCTCATGACGCACAGTCTGAGAGAGGGGGACAGAGGCATAGTCAGTGCATGGCCTGCAGCATGTGGGGGACTGAGAGACACACATGGCCTGCTGTTTTTCTCACCTCCACTCAGTCCTATAAAAAGTGGCATCTTAAAGCAATGGAAGGAAGACTGGACCCAAATTTGAAGACCTGAGCTGGTGCTACCATCTGGGGGACACTGGAGGAGTCATTCCATCTCTTCATCTGCAAAGTGGGAATAACAATACCTAACCTGCCTACCTTTCAGAGTTTTAATGATGTGCTTTATTAAATAAAAGTATGATTTTTCATTAATAAAATGCATGAAGGCATTTTACAGGTTATAAAGCACTATACAAATAGCACTTATCATTATATTTCTCTTCTGTCTCCTAGCAATGCCTGGCATAAATCTGGGGACATAGTAGATGTTCAGTAAATATCAGTTAACTTAAATTGATCCATTCACCTCGCTTACCATCTTCTATGGGCGTTTGAGGCCATTGGAAACCCTAACACTGACAATGCCTGCCATGCCTATTGGGGTTGGCCGTGAGGATCAAGTGAGAAGGACGTGCCTCGAAAGCTATCAGTACTGAACCACCCTGGCTCTTGGGAAACCTCCCCAGCTCCCCATTGTGGGGGGTCGTCTGAGGGGGCTGGCCAGCCCAGGATGTGGAGTCTCAGGCATGGGGCAGTCCTCCTCCAAGCCCTAGGTCCATTCTCTGCAGGGAGCAAACATGACACTCCCACCAGTTTGGGTTCCCACACCGCTCAGGCTGCCTGGCTTGGGATAGTGCCCATGGTATGGGAATTCTCTCGGGGGCCCATACCAGCATGTGCCCAGCCCTCACTAGCCTCCACCTCTCGTTTCAGCACCCCTACCCCACGGAGGACGAGAAGAGGCAGATCGCAGCCCAGACCAACCTCACCCTCCTGCAAGTAAATAACTGGTGAGTTTGCATCACCTGCATGCAGGCTCGCAGACATAGGGGCTACCTTCTGGGCAGGGGAACATGTAGCAGGGAAAAGAGACTCGAATGCCCAGATCTGCCTCAATCTCAGCCCACCTACCATGCCAGTCCCCCATCTGGGCTAGAAGCAGGAAGCAAGAATCAACATTGGCACCTGTGGCTTCATCTGCAGCTTCTCAGCGCCCTCTGCTGGGACATCGTGTCAGGCACGTCCCCGGAAGCTTCTTGCGGAATAGAAAACCCACACCCACCTGAGCACCCAGCCCACCTGCACTGCAGAGACAGACAGGACTGCCTGCATCCGTGGACTGGAGGCCAGTGGTCATCTGGTCTATCTACCTCACCCCCATGTGAACTGAAACTAAAACATGCTGCAAAGCTGGGAGTGGGGAGAAGTAGGAAGAGTAGCCATTCTGACCCCACAGGGATCTCGACTTTCCCAGTCTCTGTGCCTGGCTGACCTGTCATGGGGAGCTCAGAGAGCAAGGTCTGGCTGGATGGAAGTAGACCCCAGAGTTGGGGACCCTGATTCGAGCCCCCGGCCCTCGGGAGAGAAGTCAGAGGTTGGTGCCTAGACTACCACACTCTCCTCTGTTCAAGCTGGCAGGTCTTGAGCAGGGATTTCTGACCCCCTCTCCATCCCACCATGTGCTCTTGCCATACGACTTTGTGGTTACCAAGCCCCAGGAGAGTTCATGAACTTCTCAGTACCCAGGGCCACTCTCCCTGCTAGGATTTTACATCCTATGTGGGAACCCCAGTCTGCTGTGTAATGGAGTCTGAAGGCAGCTTCACCCTCCCTGCCCCCACCCAAAGGCCATGCAGGCAGCGACTAACCAGATCTCCACTTTATTCCTGCTCAGGTTCATCAATGCTCGGAGGCGCATCCTGCAGCCCATGCTTGATGCCAGCAACCCAGACCCTGCCCCCAAAGCCAAGAAGATCAAGTCTCAGCACCGGCCCACCCAAAGATTCTGGCCCAACTCCATCGCTGCAGGGGTGCTGCAGCAGCAGGGCGGTGCCCCAGGGACAAACCCTGATGGTAAGAACTGGGGCTAAGTGCACCCTAGACAAGGGCAGGGGTGCTCCTAGAGCTTCCTCAGGTCACGCTGTGCAAAGATTCAAGGGCTATCTCCTTACCTGGGCTCCTGTCCCTGCTCTGTCATAGTGATTATCCTTCCCCAAAGCCCTAAAGAAGGGGATGTTTTTGTACATAATTTAACAGACCAGATGCACTCTCATAAAGACAAGCGGGAGTTGGTGGTCACTGAAGTCAGTGACTGCTCAGCAGAGCCCCCCCGCCCCGGCCCTGTCCGCACCCATCTGAGTTCCTTAGCACCACTCGGTATATGCACAGCTCCCACAGAGCCAAGGCCATCTATAAATATCAACGCAGGCAGCTGGCTCGTGAACAGAGGCCAGGAAGAGCTCTGTTTTCCCAGCCTCTCCATCACACCCTCCATATACACTTTTCTAATTGCCAGTCGCCTAGTGCACCATGAATAATTCAATGAGCCAGACATTTTATAGCTTGGCACATGAAGATAGCTCTGCATGGGGAGTGGGATGTAGGTGTGCCTGTGTGCGCACATATCCTCGTGCACAAGTGTATGTGTGTGGTTGCACACAAGTTCCTTTGTGATGGGCCATCATGTTAGGTATGATGGGAAAAAAATAGATTTAGGGGCTAGACCAACCTGGGAGAGAATTTCAGTTCTGTCATCACTGACAGTGTCATCTCGAGCTAATGACTGTGTGAGACTCAGTTTCCTCCTCTTTATAATGGGGGATAGTAACACCGGCCTTACAGAGCTGTTAGAAAGTTAAAAGTGGTTAACACATAATGAAAATGCTCAGTGAATGGTGGCTGGGAGAGCTGCTGCCTGAGATGGGGCCGGAAGCAGCTGATGAGTGAATGGATGGGAAACTTCACACCAGGGCATTGTCCAGCTCAGGCTTCAGCAGCCCTAGAAATGAGGAGTTCACCGCTCTATGAGCAAGCCCATTAAACCCTGTCCAACACAGATATGCTGGCCCTGACCCGCCACCCCTGCCTTCTCCTGACTCTTGCTTTCTCACGCAGGTTCCATCAACCTGGACAACCTGCAGTCCCTGTCCTCAGACAATGCCACCATGGCCATGCAGCAGGCTATGATGGCTGCACATGATGACTCATTGGATGGGACAGAAGAAGAGGATGAGGATGAGATGGAAGAGGAGGAAGAGGAGGAGCTGGAGGAGGAGGTTGACGAGCTGCAGACGACGAATGTCAGCGACCTGGGCTTGGAACATAGTGACTCCCTGGAGTAGTCGGGCAGCCCAGATGGCACTGATCACCAAGCAGGAGAGGAGTGTCGCCGGGAGGCCTTCAGGGTGGGGGGGAAGGGGACATGGGCAGGCAGCACCAAGGGAGTTGGGCCCTAGCTTCCCCAAATCAGTAGCTTGAAGAAAAGCAGAGGAGACACCTGTTCCTTCCCAACCACCAAGCTTCAATGAGGATCCCAGCCCCACTTCCCCGGAACTGCAGAGGACTCTGTTTGGCTGGGCCAGTCGAGCAGCCTGTGTGGAAAGCCAGGACTGATCTGGACTCACCAAATCCCTGAGGACAGATGGCACCCATGGCCCCACCCACGGAAGGACTTGAGCTGTTTACAAGCCTTGCACTGTGAGGCAGATTGGTGCTGTTCGCAGAGTGGGCCTTTGTGGGGGGCAGACTGAGAGGGAAAGGGAGAGGCAAAGTGTGTCTGGGTTTCATCCCCAGAAGGTTCTCAGTTCATCTGACAGACATTCAAGGGCAGGAGGGAGCCTCAAAGCATAACCAGTGGGCAGAGGAGTAGGAGGGCCTGAGGCATCACATCTTGCAGATCAGAATGGGATGGAATCCACCGGGCTCCAGCTCATCCCTCCAAGGCCCTGTCTCTGAGCACAGCAACCATGGATGTGGGAGAGAGGGATGGGAGCCATGGTGCCCTTCACTGTCTCCTGGAAACTAATTGTAAGCTGGTGGGCTTAACCTGTGGGAGGTTAAAAGGAGCCCCTTCTCCTGGGTTGATTCCAGGAGCCAAGGAGATGGCAGACCCTGGGCTGGGAGCCATATCAAGATGACTTTGGGGCCGCAGCTGTCCCTAGCTCCTGTAACAACAGGACAATGGAGTTTTATCCTAGATGTTCCCTCCCTCAGTGTTCCACGCCCTCCATAGACCTCCAGAGAAGGTAGAACCAGGTTATCTGGGAATCTTTCAACCCCACAGGTCACCACAGCCGTCCCTCTGCTCCCAGGCTGGCTCCATCAGCCTCCAGCTTCCTTTCCTCATTCTGTCTTTCAGAGAAGGCAGAAGAAACATTGGAAAGCATCTAGTCCAGTGGGAAGCCAGGGGTTGGAGAAGGTGCTACATTCCTCTTCCCATCAATATCCAAAATGTGGGGGAGGGGTCAGAAAATGGCACCCAAGAGCCTGCGGGGGTACCCACCCCACCCACCCCGAGGTTCTGACCCTGCTGTCCACAGCCCTGGAGGAACTGGGGCTCCTGGAAGGAGGAGGAGGCTCCCACTGTCCGCCCTAACACATGCCCTCCCACCCACCTTCCAGACTCCCTTGGTTGGCACCCTCTCCTCCCATTCCCTCTCACCCCATGGCTGTGAATGACAGGACTGGTCACACGTGTGTTTCCCATTGGGTTTAATTTAATGGACATGCAGTTTCATTTGTAAATTGTGCATTAGCCATCTCCTTCAGTGGCAGGATGTGAGCGGCTACCTGGCTCAACTGGAGGGGACCCTCGGGGCCCTCTGGGGCTTCCCCTCCTCCACCTGGTTGGGGTAGAGCAAAAGGATGGTCACTCTTCTGAGGTCTCCCTGAAATGAATGTATTTCTCCCCCAAAAGAGCTGATATTTAATGTTTTAATAGGGATTTTTGAGAAACAAATAACCTTATTTATAATCTGGGTGATCCAATCATTTTTTACTCCCTTTTGATGCCATACATAGGGGAAAGTCTAGCTTTTTTGGCGTGAGACTTTTACAATGTGCAGTGGGATAAAATGCATTTTCTTTTCTGGTTCGTTTTTCTTGTTAAGCACACACACATGCACACACACACACACACACACACACACCCCATTCCACCCACCACTTGGACAGGCGTCCCCCAGCAGGGGCACACTGGCACACAGGTGCCCACGTCTCTTCCTCCCAGCCCCTCCACCTGCCTAATGTTATGCAACCTCCTTCTGATGTATCCACCAAACCAGTACTGAATGTGGCCGAGACGTTTTCAGTAAATCTTATTACCTACCGTAACCCTGGTGCACAATTCTCTTTCTGTGGTTGCTGTGGCAATCCTTTGCTGTTTGCATGGGACCCGAGGCCAGACAGAATTTGGAGGCCTCAGTATACACCTGACTACCCAGGGAAGGGACAAGGTAGATGCGCTTCCCGCGTGAGCTCAGCTGAGCTGCCTGGGGAGGAAGAGCCAAGTTCAGCACACTCACCTTGTGTGGGGCCAGTTGTAAGGCAGAGCTAGGGAGACAAGGCAAGGAAGCTCTGCACTGCCCTCTCCTGACAGCTTCCTCGACCACAGCGGAAGCTCTGAATTTGGTCCCTCTTGTCCACCATACTCCACCTCCCTCAAAGGCCTCTGCTTTCCGGTCTCCATCCTCAGCCCAAGAAGGTTTTCATGATTGAAGCTGGTGCCACCACGGCCCCACACCCAGCCTTCAGTGCCCACTGTTTCCTGATCAGCAGGTGAAAGTCCCAGGCAGCAGGAGGTAGAGGCAGTCTTGGCTGCCACCTTTCACCCTGGAGCTATGTCCAGGAGCCTGCCCTTGAATCCCAGGGATCAGCACCATAATCCCCCAGGCAAGAAGAAACTCAGGGGCAGCTGATCTCCTTACAGAAGTGAGAGGCAGGCCTTCTTGTCACCTCCAGATGAAAGGGTTCCTTCCTTAGCCACCCTTGCTGAGCAGTCTGGGGCATCTGCTTAGAAGCAGAATGTGCCTTGTTCACATTCAGGGATGCTGGAGAGTTTGCACTTACTGGCAGATCCCCCTACGGCCAGGTAGAAGATAGGGAAGCTGGTGGTTGGTTATACAGGCAACGGGGGTTCTGGCCAGCTCTAGTGGCCTTCCCTGAGTCACTGCCTCAGGGAGCCCAGTCTCCCTTCCCCTCGTCACACCTGGAGAGAGTTCTGCAAATCCAGCAGAAACCCCTGCTCTCTGGGCAGACTGAGAAAATCTCAAGAACTGTAAGTTGACTGGAACCGCACCTTCAGAGCTGGGAAGACAAGTCTTTTAAGATAGTAGTTTCTAAGGAACATGCTGCTAAAAGATATACTAAAAAACAAACAAACAAAAAGATCGATGCCCAAATCAGCCTAAGATTAATTGCATATTGTATTTTGTTAGGCAGAGTTTCATCATGCACATTATTTTACTAAAGGCTCTGAAAAGTCCTGCAGGAAAGAAACCTGTTTAACTTTGTTTCAGTTGTTCCCAGATTTGTTTGCTCCACCCCCTCCTTTTATTTTTCGAGTAATAACAGTTCAAGTTATATCAATGTTCCACAAAACACACTGTAGGGGACACTATTCTAAAGAAATCGCCGAGTAACCCGTCCTACGCTCTCCCTCCTTTTTTTTTTATCAAGTTCTGCCATCTTTCAACCACAATGCCAACTGAAAGTGGGTTCCTTTTTTTAAAATTTATTTTTTAATTAATTTTTTTGAGACAGGGTTTCACTCCCATCACCCAGGCACAATCTCGGCTCACTGTAACTTCTCTACCTCCCAGGCTCAAGCGATTATCCTGCCTTGGTCTCCTGAGTAGTTGGGCTATGATGTGTGCCACAAGGCCCAGTTAATTTTTTGTTTTGTTTCGTTTTTGTAGAGATGGGGTTTTGTCATGTTGCCCAGGCCAGTCTCCAACTCTTGAGCTCTAGCAGTCTGCCTGCCTCAGCGTCCCAAAGTGCTGAGGTTTCAGGCATGAACCACCACTCCTGGCCGAAAAGGGGCTTCTTAAGTCACTTGAGATGTAGGTAGTTGTGTTTTGAGGAGCCAGCAACCTCTCTCTGTGCATGATCCAAATGCTACCCGACCCAAGGAAAAGACACGCCATAATCCCTGTGGAAATACAAGAGATGGATGATAGGGTGAGCGGTAGGGGAAGGTTTCCTTTATCCCATACTAGAACTCCAATATCAGGGCGCTGGCAACTGCTCAGACTGACTTCTGCCCCCAAACCCTGACCCATCAGGAAAGACCTTTCAAGTTCAGAGATCCTGCTCATGGGAGCTGGTGGCCAGAGCTCAACTTCCTACCAAGGACCCCCTCTCCTGCCATGCATGGGGCCCCAAGGAGGGCCGTGACTGCCACACTGCAGCCTGCTCAATTCATTCAGTTCATTCCTGATGAGTTGCTCATTCTCTCAACATGCATTTAGTGAGCCCCAACTCTGTCCCAGGCACTGTTGTACAAAGATACAGCTATGGCTGACAAAGACTGAGTTCTTTACTTCGGGGAGTTTACATTCCACTAGAAAAAACTGACACTGTGCCCGGTGCAGTGGCTCACACCTGTAATCTCAACACTTTGTTGTCCAATGTGGGAGGATCACTGAGCCCAGCATTTTAAGACCAGCCTGGGGAAATAGCGAGGCTCCCCCACCCATATTATTTTAAAATATATATACAAGGAGAAAGAAAAAGACTGAGACTGAAAATGCTTGCAGCATCCCTGTAATGGCTGTAACTGTGACCTCATCCTCAGCACAGAGAGCTCGGACGTCGTCCCCTGTAACGGCTGTAACTGTGACCTCATCCTCAGCACAGAGAGCTCGGACGTCGTCACTCTGAGCTGCAGAGCAGGCAGCTCTCAGCTCCACCATGAGGTTCAGGTTAAATACAATTTTCAGACCTGTTTTGAACCATATATTGTTTTTTAAAAATTGCGTGCCAACATTTAAGACTTAGAAGGGTAGGCATTTAAAAGTCCTATTTCTGTCTTCTCCTGAAAAATCAGGCAACTTGGAACCTAAATATTCCCATGTGGCCATGATCGAGTGTAGCCGAATTAACTGCTGCCCGCTAAGGCACGTTCTCCACGTCAGTGGGATGTTTGCAGCCCCTGTGGTCTCCCAAACACTGCGACTCAGGGTTCATTGCCATTTATTATTGGCTGTTACTATTTATGCTTCCCCCACACCCCCTTTTTTTCCTTTCCCTGCAACATCTAAGTGGTTGTTTTTAAGAAGGGGAATATTTATACCCATTTCTCCATCAAGAGTAAGAAAACAAGATAGTCCAAGAGGGAGGGCCCTGCCTTTGGTACAAAACATTGGAGAGAATGTATTTGTCTGTGGGCATAAAGATACTCTTACCTTTCATTGCAAAGTATACCTGTGTCTCACATCCAAGTAGCTTAATTCATTCATTATCTGCCTACCTTGCCTCCCCGGGCAACAATGAGGCTTGGGGCATAAAAACCACCAGGGTTGCTAGTTACAGATACAATGTAGGTTCCACAACCAGTGTTTGCCCCAGATAGCTAGGCAGGATGCCCAAAGACTTGGAGGCACATTGCTCTCAGAAAATAGTTTTCAAATATCGGCCAGACGCAGTAGCTCACACTGGTAATCCCAGCACTCTGGGAGGTCAAGGCGGGTAGATCACATGAGGTCAGGAGTTTGAGGCCAGCCTGGCCAACATGGTGAAACCATGTCTCTACTAAAAGTACAAAAATTACCCAAATGTGGTGGCACACACCTGTAGTCCCAGCTACTCGGGGAGGCTGGGGTATGAGAATCATTTGATCCCGGGAGGCAGAGGTTGCAGTGAGTTGAGTTTGTGCCCCCTGCACTCCAGCCTGGGTGACAGAGTGAGACTCTGTCTCAAAAATAAAAATTAAAAAAAACAAAATTTCAAATGTCGTTTGAAGCTCTTTGCAGTATAGCTGCTCCTTTAACTTCCTTTAGCCAGAGAGACTACCACCCTCAAGCCAGTTATTCATTCAGTAGGAATTCCCAGGTGCCCACTATGTGCCTGGCGTCCTACTAGGGACAAAGGATGGAGAAGTTTGCAGAGCACCACAGACCAAGGGACCGAGCACTGAGGACTGACAGAATGTCGATCACCTCACATGGTGCATTTCCACTTGGGGACTTTATTTTCATCCCACAGATGAGGCAGGTTTTATTATACCACTTTCAAGTGTATCTTATATTTTTTATTTCTCAGCCTCTCTCTCGGCCAATCTCATTTAGCCCCTTTGCAAATTAAATGCATCTCATTAAATCGAACCCATTTAGGACAATGCCCTTCAGGTGTGTGCATCTTAGTACATCTTTCATTTTAAGACAAGTGTTTGATTTATTTTTCATCTCATTACACTCTTTAAAATTATGTGCATCTCATTACACTCAACGCACTGAGACAACTTATTTCTGGTATAGACATTACACCCAGTATTAGCAGGCAAGAGTATGATTTTTTTTCATTTCATTACAAGCCTTACAATTTATGTACATCTCATTACAATCAGCCATTTAAGACAATTCCCTTCAGTTATGTGTATCTCATTATACTTTTCATTTTCACATTTTTTTATCTTATTATTCAGAGAACCTACTACAGGTGTGTATGCCTCATATCCACCTGTTATTCCTGTGAATTTCTGGGTCGCTGCTTCCACCGATGTACTGCAAAATTTTTATTCTACCAAATTCATTTAAGGCTAGCTCTGCCCATCTGTGGGCCTCCTCTGATCCCTTTGCACAGGAAAGAAGAACACTAGGTTCCCTTGCATGCAATTGAGATTCTTTCCCTTACATACAGGGACCCCCTAAAGCAACTTCCCTCATTTGCACATTGAGGGGATTAGAGGAGACTGCACGAGGAGCCCCTTCAGTTGATAGCTGATGAAATGCTACTCCTGTGGATGACAGCTCAGCAGCTTCCCAGCTCCTCCTGGAAATGCAGCTGCTCTCCTTGGAAGCCACCCACCTGCTGGAGAAGCTGACATTGACATCACTGGCCAGCTTCCAAAAGCCAGTCGGCTTCACATGTCTTGCTTCCTTTTTGACTGGATAACACTGTGAATCATGTAGGAACACATTTTGGAAGGAGGTGAAATATTAAACAACTGCTCTGTTATGATGGAATCTTCCCCGCCTCCAAACCCAATGGGTGTCTTCGTCTCTCCCCCAACCCCTAACCCAGCGATTCTCAGCTGAAGTGCACTTTAGAATTGCTGAGCAAGCTTTAGTTGCAGGTGCCCAAGTTCTATCCTTCATCTACTAAATCAGAAACCC